GGCAAAAAGGTTGAGTTCCCCTTTGTTTCTCCTCTCTCTTTGTTTTAGGTTGTTAAAGTTTGGCGAAAAACCTTGCAGCGAGTTCTCGGCAAGCGGGCTAGCCCACACAGCGACAAGGCAAGAGCCGAACCTCGAATCAGCCTGGTCAGGAAAGCGAGCCAGCCGGCAACCGGGCTGGCTCACCTCATATCAAGTCTTAGAAAGGACGTTTGATAGAAGATTGAAAGGACATTAACATTTGATAGAGAAAAGGAAGAACTGACCAAAAAAATACTAAACTTAGTAACAACACTCAAATATCGTAAAAAAATGTATTATGCAGGAATCACCTGTGCACGAGGTGCCATTTCCAGTGTATTCAGGATAACAAGTGCAGTTATAGGGCCCTATAGTGTTATTACAATGAGCATTGTTGTCACAGGAATGGCTGCTGAGTGTACACTCGTCCACATTTTAAAGACAGATTGGCTTTAAAGTGATTATTACATGCTCTTAAAAAAGTAGTTTTTTTTTCTGACTAAGCGTCGCCATAGTGGTAATAAAATTGGAAAAGTTAAAAGTGATACAGTCCTTTGAAGTTTAACTGAGATCTTAGCCTGCCCAACTTCCTTCTTGCTTTCTTTCTTGCCTAGGTTAGGAGGGGGTTAAGACCTCTCTAAACTACTCGGTAGAGCAGAGAAGGAAAGAGCAGTTTTACAAAGTAATAAAAATTGTTGTGTTCAAGTTGATCCTCAGTTGAAATTTTTAAATTCATTAAAAGGTAACCTTACATTGCCACCCCAAAACAAAAGAAAATCGAGTTTAAATCAAAGATAAAATAGAGCCATAAGGGAATATTTAGGAAATGTGTATATTAATTATCGCAGTAGCTCACAACGGGTTACCAACGTTCAATTTTGACAACCTTTTTTTACAATTTTGTATGCTGAATTTCATTATTCATAAGAATGTGAGACGGTTATCAAATGGTTCTTTTTTTGTTTGTTTGTTTGTTTGAGGTTTTAAAGAGGAACAATAATACATGGTGCCTATAGTCAATCTGGTTACAAATGATCGTTTACCTGTACACCATGATCCATTCCCAGTGTATCCTGGATTGCATGTGCAATTATAAAAGCCCATGGTATTATTACAGTAAGCATTGGTAGCGCAGTTGTGGGTGTTGTTTGAACACTCGTCAATTTCTAAAGGAAGATAGAAGCGTGAGTCAGACCTTTGATGTGAGAAAATTAGAAAAAAACGTCCCCTCATAGGGTTTATTATATTAGATGATAGCTTCGTACTATAAAACAAAAGCTTTGGGCGGGTGTGCCTTTGTATCTTTTGTGTACAGTAAAGGCAGGACTTACATCACTCATGTCACCATATCTTATCAATAGTAAAGAACAAGAGTCAAGAGATTGGTACTTTATTTAAAAGCTTATCCTGTTAAAAAAACCAAGAACCAAAAACAACGAAAACATGGAAATTCATATATTTACGTCAAAGCGATGCCCCTTCCCCCCAATTCAAACAAAATAGTTTAATAATTATTTACCAGTGCATGTTACTCCATTTCCTGTGTAGCCAGAATAACAAGTACAGTTGTGAGACCCAATAGTGTTGTAACAATAAGCATTGGTATCACATGAATCTGTGCCTGTGTCACATTCGTCAAGGTCTACAAGAGACAAACAAGTTCACTTTTGCATTATTAATCTACGATGCACTTTATTAACGCGATAATGCATCTTTTAAAATTTACGTCAATGTTCATTTAAATTACACTATTCTACATCAATGTTGTTTTACAGCACCTTCATTGCAATAACAAGACATCGTCTGTTCATAGTCCCTCGGAGTCACTATCTGCCGTGACGTTCTTCTTTTAAGAAGTTAGTTCAAAATGTCTTTCGACTGGTCTTCGTATATTAATCCGTTTCCCCGTGGATGACTGGAAATGACTGGAAATGCTGTAATCTTCTTTAGATACGTAACTATGTTCAGAAGTTTGTGTTGCAGGAAATTCCCGTAAAATAAAGTTAGGCGCACATTGTTTTCGAAAATTTCGCGTTAATTTTATGTATTTAAACCTAACCTTTGTAAAATTCGCGTTAATTTTGTGTAACGTAAATTTTCTTTGCGTTGTCAACGCGCATCGTTAATTGCCTATAACAATGTAATTAAAGGGACCATATGAAAGAATAGTTGGCCTCTATTATGGAAAAGAAGTCTATTAGTCAGAGCCCTGCTGAGCGTGGAATCATTTGATCAAATTATTTTAATAGGAGACCTTTCATGAATGCATGGGTGAGATTATTCAAAATGGCGAACCCAGCAAGAGGGTTATAAAAAATTAACTTGGACAAATCTGTTTTAGGATAATGAAATGCAGAGCAATTGTAGTGCAACACTGGGAATGTTGAAAGATGAGAGGAAAAAGAGGATATTGAATGAGGTTGGTGTATGATTCTCTTACGACATGGAAGTAAGCTTTAAAAAAGGCGTGTTTTTTGTAACGGCGTAAAGCTGCGCCAATCTCGAAAGCTACGTGGAAGGTCACATATCGGATAGCTTATAAGCCACACCTTGGTCCAGTGTGAAAAGGTATTAGGACAGTAAGCGGAGAAGAATAATTAGGGGGACTGGAACCAACTGACACGGAACGAAACGTTCACTACTGAGGACTTAATTAGTGCACCAAACCCTCTCATACTATCGTCCTGCTGATGCTATCAGACCAGCTGGTTTGGTAGATTTCTAGGTAATTATGGTTTTTGAAGACAACCGTTATTCACGGAAAGGGTACACACAAATTTTTCGAAGTTTTGAAATGGCTTCGACTTTCAACAAACCAAAATAACGTCCCCCCAAAATCACAACATAAAGCTAAGAGCATATAGCATATAGCATACACACAGAAGAGTTGAAGTTGCTAGTTGATGTTAGATGTCAGAAGAAGAATTTTGCTTAATTAACAAGTATTTTTTGACCCTTTTAGTGAAAAGAGGAGTACTTAAACGTTTAAAGTCAGGGGTTAGTTCATGCCAGAAATCTACTGCCGTTGCAGATATCGTTTGTTTGCCAGTGTTTGTTCTATAACAAGTCTTATATAGATTGTCTTTTGAAACATATCTTGTGTTATGTGAGTGGATGTTTTGGCATATTGAAAGAAGCTATGCACGGACCCGGCATTTCTGTAAAAGGGTACGGTTGGAAAACTGGAAAAAGTGATTAAAAGGGACGAAGAACTTCATAAGCTTTTTAGGTAAAAGATTTCTGACGGAGCTTTAAGATTACATAAAATCCTCTGTTCGGTTTATAAACTCGTAAATGAGGAAACGAACGTTCAGAAAACTATTAGCAAATGAATCATTGTTTTATTACCTACGAATCACTCTTTTAATCGACTTTGTAAAAAAAAATTGACAGTATTTTATATCTGCTACTAACTGACTTAATTTTAATGGTAAAAATAGCTTTTATACTGTCTTTTTTATGTTTATCTCTAACCCTATTTTATTCCTTTTTTTTTTTTGGCAATGGCATATCTAGTTGGTGAAGTTTCTTCCTAACTAATCCATATAGCTAAGTATATGTTCCACTTCAATTTAAGTGTTATTATCTGTTTTTGCTCACCTAAGAATGTTTGCCCACTCGCTTCAGTATAACCAGAGTTACAGGTACAGATATGTGATCCAATGGTATTATTACAATAAGCGTTGGCAGTCACAGGAATGGCTATATCGACGACACTGACAGCAACGAAAACGTCACTTTTAAAGGTGGACAGATGACAGATGGATAGCCAGAGATACTTCAAGATAGGCAGACGTCAGAATGATAGACTGACGGACTGAATTGACAGTTTCGCATACTGACTGATTGCCAGCCTGACTGAGTCTGAGAGACTGACTGAGTCAAACATACTGACGGCGAGAGTGACTGTCTCACAGTCTGACAGACTGAAAGACTAACAGACGGACAGAAAGAGAGACAGAGAGACAGAGAGACAGACGGACGGACTGACTGGTAGCATGATACAGGGAAGAACAAAAAAAAAATGAGCACTATATTAAAGCAAAATCGGCTTATAGCCAAGACTTGGAAAGAGCATTTTAAATTTATAATCCTCATTACCAGCGCATATTTTGCCATTTCCAATATATCCAGAATTGCAGATGCAGATATGAGAACCCTCTATGTTCTTGCAAACAGCATTGGCATTGCACAAGTGAGTGTTGGTTGCACAGTTGACGACTGGAAGATCTGTAAGTTCAAACAGACAAATTAGCAATCACGAAGTAAGAACATTACACCTGATATCGTGATTTATTTATGTTTTATCTTTTTCTTTGTTGCGAATATTGTAATGACATTATTACCATTATTTTGGTTGTGAGGAGAGGTAATATATTGGTCCACGGGCACTCTTTATTCTAAGCGGGAAAATCGAGACTATCAGAAGTTTGCGCTTAAACTTGAGACATTTTCTGCTTCACTAAAATTAATTTACATAGACATTCGACGATTGAGCTTCGTTGAAAGATACGCTCAAAAACAACAGCCAAGCAGACAAAAAGAGGAGAAGACGATCGCCTCAAATGAAAGACCATATTTTCTGATTTTTTCCAAAGTAACGTTCAGGCACAAAACATTTTATATTTCAATAGGAAGTTTAGGTTGATAAGCATCTTACTCCTACTGTCTCTAGATGCAAGACTGCTAGAGAGAGAAAAAAAATTATCCCAATTGCAAATTGGCGCGTGCCTTTTAGTCGACATCGATCTTCTGAATCAGTTATCAATTTCTTGCTTTTCAAAATGAATTCAAAATAGCAAACAACAGACACAAGAATGCAAAACACGGCCGATACGTTAACTTTTTTTCCCGCCTCCCGAATCTTGTTTTCTCCTTTATCCCTTTAAGCCCCACTGTCAACATATAAATTCTCCATACTTATCGATCTTCATACATTTCCTTAACTAATTAGTTGAGAGAATTTGATAACAAATCAAAGAGTTTTCTCTTTAGTGATCATTCTATTAACTCTCATAACCATTTCTCTTGCCAACATATAGATATTTTAGGAGAAAATTGATGTCGGTCAGTATTGGGACTTAAGGGGTTATAGCACTGCTTGAGGTTATGTACTTACAGAGAACTTTCAAAAAGGCAACTCACGGTCACTTCTCTAAAAAAGAAGGACCTTCAGAGCTGGTCTGGGTAATTCCCAGTTTTCGAGTCGATTTTTGGTAAAATCAGCTTGGTCACGATTCATTGATTAGCCGATAGTAATCTTGAATGTTCCGTCTATGTGTTTTCTTATATTTTTGGTGCACTGCTTTCGTCCAAAAGTTATTAGAAACTGCAATCATAACTTGGACGTGCTGGGGTATTCCGCAGAGTTGTTATTTTGAACAAATAAATCATTTTTGGTCCTTCTCGTTGCTGTAGCTGTCTGTGTTTCTGATGGTCGTCAATTGGACGATTATTTGAAAATAAACAAAGATATACTGAGAGTTTGTCAAAACTTATATATTTAATACATTAAACTACTGCAAGCGAAATTTCTGCAATTTGATTGGCTTAGAGCAATGGTATTTCAGATTAATTTGAAATACCTATATGTGAAAATTACAAACTGTTTGCAGGTAGTAGTATAAACAAATAACCGCATAATTTGTACGTGATATTTGGCATATAATTCAAAATTGTCTCACATTTCACTCGCCTAACGGCTCTTGAAATGTACAACAATTTTCGAAATATAACTCGTAGTATTTATGCCAAATATCACCACAAATCATGCTATTACCTTTTCTAACATAAGAGTATAAAATTCTTTCTAATTTTTGCATTTATTGGAATTTTTAAAAAGCATTGTTTAATGAGCATCAATATTTGTACTTCCGCACGCAGTGAGAACCTCGTATGCACGCTTGTGGACCTTCAATAAAACGTACCTATCTCAACACTTTTCATAATGGTAGTTTAGTCCGGCGCTGGCTATTTCATACTTTTATTGAGTTTTTAAATGTTCCAAAAGAGGTGAGACTTAGAAAGGAAATTTTACCTCAAAAGAATTTAAGAGTGAATGTCAGTAAAAATCAATGAAAATTGGAAAAATCGCGGACACGGTCAAAAGTCGATTTCGCAAGTGTAGCAAGCCTAAGGTGTGTAATGAAATAAAATGAAGTTATTAGTTTTTGAGAATATTCTTTTTAACGGCTAGAAACAATAAAAAAAACCGTCTCGGCCTAAAATTAAAAATAAAATTTCACTAGTTCCAAACGTGAAATTACGAGGTTTTCAGGAAGTCTTCATTCGGACTCAAAAACTAAATTCAAACCTTTTAAATTATAGTTGTGTACACTGGGTCTTCTTCTTTTTAAAAATAGTAGTATCTGTGGTCTAATGCTTTTCATAAGTACTTAACAGCGGATTTGTAAACGGCATTTTCGGACGTAGGAACAACACGCGAAACATGGTTTCGAACAACTTAACAAAAATACATGTGGTGTTATCTAAAAATTGACCAAATTTCATTCACGTATGCTTAAAGGATAGTTCTTTCTACAGATTGTCTTATTTCTCTGGGATCGTCACACTTCTGAGTTCAACTGACAGCAGTTGAGTTGCAGAAAATTACAAACGCTCTATGGCTGTATGGCGGCGATAACCGGTCAAGGTTTTCAAAACACTTACTAACTGACAATCAGTCCTATATTCTCAGTACATTTGAAAAATCGAAAAAAAAAAAAAACAGCTAGAAACGTCACGCGATTCTGAAACGCTTTATAGATCTCAGGTTCTAGCGTTTGGTTTACGCTGCGCTCAGAGAACGAAACCAGGTTTTTTGACACTTAAAACTTTTTTCAGATCGACGGCCGGCCAAGATTTTCAAAACACTAAACGACCGGCTGTCTACCCTGCTAGCAGAGTCGCTTCGAACTTGCCTAGATAAGTCGGGAAAGAGGAAAGAGGAAAAAGGAAAGAGGAAAGAGGAAAGAGGAAAGAGAGGGGTGACGAATGGTCTTTGCGAGCATTCGCGGGCATGCGAGCACTGCGATTTTTTTGCGAGCACGAGCAGAGATGAAAAAAATTGGTTTGCGAGCAGCGAGCAGTTCAGAGAGTACAACTCGCGAGCATGGAGCATTTTTTATATTTTCCGCTTGCAGCAATCCATATGCAAGTCCTTTTCTTAAAAAAAAAAAAAAAGAAAAAAAAAAAAAAAACAGAAAATGTTTTAAAAAGACGATGTTATACTCATCGCTAAGTACAAAGAGATCAGTCGAGACTTTATTTTAGGAAAGCTTGAACAAAACCTTACGAGAACTTCGTCTAAAGTAAAAACACACCCGTACGCAAGCGATCCCGAAGACTGTCTAAAATTCAATTACGAGTTCATCGCTCAGGTAGAGAAACATCATGTGATTGGAACCGTTTGGGAAGTGCAGTTCACAGACGAAGATTTTCATATCGATTTAAACCAAGAGCTCTACGAAGAATGTCTCGAGCGCACAAGGGCGTTGAAGAAAGAGACATGACTGATGTGGATGAAGAAGAACTTGAAGAGGAACAAGATCCTCGTTTCAGAACAACCTCTTCCGGAAGAATCCTAAGGCTTCCAAACCGTTTTTAGTGAAAACACAGCCTAATTAAAGCCAAGTGAGTAGAGCGATAGAGAAACTCAGAAGAACTCACAAAAAGGAACACTCACAATTTTCCACCAATTGTGATAAGTGGCAAGGAACTATCTGTATCAAACAGTGTAAAAATCCTAGGAGTCACTATTAGCTCAGATTTAAATTAAAATGGAACGAACACATCTCAGAGTGCATTAAGAAAGCGAACAAGCGCCTTTATTTGATTGTGCGAATTAAAAATGGTGCCTTGTTATTAAAAGCAACAACTTGTACGTGAGGGCGCAGTTGAATCGATTTTAACAAATATCATTCGGAAACTATGAAGACAGAAAGTGACAAAAATGTGCTGAAATTCAGTTTCAATACATGTAAACGAAATAAAGCGCTAAAAATCTCAGAAATTGAAAACAAACCGAGGAGCCCAAATCCATTTGAAGTAATTATCTCAAGTGCACTGTTACCACAATAGACGTACCGCATTTTCCTTACTTGCTTTAGATTCTGCCAGACGTTTCACATCGCTTCTTACTATTTTTAAGTGAAAACTACCCTAATTATCTGTAGAAATTTTCCAAAATGATCTTCGTGATTACAGTCGTCGTTTTCCCTCACCAATCAACTTCACTGACCTGGGGTTGACCTGACGTATAAAATTGTCATAACCGCCACCCAATACTTTTGAGATAAAAAAATTGTTTCAAAATGCTGCTTTTCAACAAAGGTACTTCAACTATATCGAATATATTAGTAAAACGTCTATTTATAGATTCAAGAGGTAGAGTAGCTCGGGAGTTAATTTGCAATGGCTATTTCACGCCATAAGGGAAGAAACGTTAAGCAACTCCGTGTGCGCCTCATTATCCTTTAGTGAAAGGAAAAATAACTGACCAAAAGGCAATCAGGAGGAAGCTCCATCTTCCATACAAACCCTTCGAGTCAACCCTTCCCCAGGACGACTTATAAACAGAACTTCGCACCACCACCATCATCATCATCATTATTCCCATCATCATAATCATCCTCATTAGCGTCACCATCACCACCCTCATCATCATCGTCATCATCAGACTTATCATCATTATCATCATCATTCTTATCGTGATCCTCAGTACCGTCATTATCATGACTTCAACGTCTTCATCAGCATTACATAACCATTTCATCATCATCATCATTGTTATTACAACTGGGCCAAAGTAGTGGGAATTTGAACAGGCTTGTTTTAAAATCTTCAAATGCGCCGGGGTTGTATGTTGAAATTTCGAGTTGATCGGCGCGTTACCTCGACTCTAACAAATAGAAAGAGTGTATGTTATATTTATGTTGTTATCAAACCGCCATCATCAATTTCTTGCTCTCTGTGCAGATTGCAAGAAATTTTATATGGGGCCATATTACTGTGTTTTTAGAGTTTTGAAGTCGCGCTGATGTCTATGCCTGCGTGGATATATATTCGAAGATACTGAAAGAGACTTAAACAAGAACCCATAAAAGGGCTACATTGGTACTGCTGACTTGCGTGACAATTTGTCATGCTGCGTCAAAATTACATCCTAAGGCTTAGTCATGCATTCCTTTTCCACTGCGTTATAACGAGACAAAAGAACGTCCTTGTGGGACACTAAAATTTGTCCCCTGTTTTAAAAATTCTAGTTCTGTTTAAAGGAAGTTTGAGAGATTTGAAATGCTTTCACAGTCTGTTCGAATATTGCCGCCGCTACAGAATATTAGGGACCTTAAGATACTCTGGACGCGGCCAAGGAGGACGTCAACCGGAAGTGAAATGTTCAATTCTTGGAACTAATTAGCATAATGCCACAGCGTCGACCTGAAGTCGCGACGGTGAAAACTAGTAGTTTGGCCGCCTCGTAAAACGGTGAGTTGGTTTTCTTGTTTTCAGCGCAGAAATTGCTTTTCGTACAGGATTTTCGATCCATTTTACTTCAAGAGACACATTTAAGTGTTTTTAGAGTGGTGTTCCCTCAAGATTGACTTTTTTGATTGATTTTTTTGCTATCAAGCCTTTTGGGTTCAGTGTTTTGGCGGCAACTGATTAGAATGAAAGCGCTGAGTCTTTCGACACAAATGTAACACTATAACTACTTGTTTTTAAGGGGACAACGTTTTCGCTTTAGGATAGTATTTGAAAAATTTAAGAGAAGAGAAGTCGAATAAAAATCGTTAGAAAACAAAAATCTAGGCTTGTAATAAACTTGAACATGTCGGAGAGAAAATTGAGATCTTGAACAAGACGCCCATGGTTCATTTATTAACTTTTATAATTTTATTTTTGTTTACTTTCAGTTCAGCGTATTCAATTACGAGTTCATCGCTCAGGTAGAGAAACATCATGTGATTGGAACCGTTTGGGAAGTGCAGTTCACAGACGAAGATTTTCATATCGATTTAAACCAAGAGCTCTACGAAGAATGTCTCGAGCGTACAAGGGCGTTGAAGAAAGAGACATGACTGATGTGGATGAAGAAGAACTTGAAGAAGAACAAGATCCTCGTTTCAGAACAACCTCTTCTGGAAGAATCCTAAGGCTTCCAAACCGTTTTTAGTGAAAACACAGCCTAATTAAAGCCCAGTGAGTAGAGCGGTAGAGAAACTCAGAAGAACTCAAGGTAACAATATCTTCTCTTTTTAACCATATATAGCTAGATTAGCTAATTTATTATTTATCGTTGTCACTGAACTTGATAGCCATACTTATAGGAATTAAACACCACAGAGAATTACATTTACTTTAATCCAAAGAAGGATCCACAAAATCTCGAGCAATAATGACAAGAAAGCGAGCATGCGAGCAACTGCAAAACTTTTGGGAGCACGACCAAGCGAGCACTCGATTAAATTTTGCGCGAGCAAATCGAGCAAAGGTAAAATTTTGCGAGCAGTTAAAAATTTTAATGGACCATTCATCACTCCTAAACAGGAAAGAGGAAAGAGGAAAGAGGAACGAGGAAAGAGGAACGAGGAAAGAGGAAAAAAGTCCTAAGTGGACCAAAACATGGTTTCGTTTTCTGAGCCCAGCGTAAACCAAAAGCCAAACTTCAGAACCATAAAGCGTTTTAGGATCGCTTGACTTTTCTTAATCGACATACGATGGTATAGATTAGCTGGATTTTTTCGATTTGTCAAATTTACTGAGAATATAGGACTGCCTGTCATTTAGTGTTTTGAAAACCTTGACCGACAGTCGACCTGAAAAGTCACAAAACATGGTCTCGTTTTCTGAGCCCAGCGTAAACCAAACGTAAACTTGAGCATTTCAGGATCGCTTGACTTTTCTTAATCGACATATGATAGTTTGGATTGGCTGGGATTCTTAGATAAGTCAAATTTAATGAAAATACCGAACTGCCGGTCATTTTGTGTTTTGAAAACCTTGACCGGTTACCGGCCATATAGCCATAGCGAATTAAAAATGGTGCCTTGTTATTAAAAGCAACAACTTTTACGTGAGGGCGCAGTTGAATCGATTTTAACAAATATCATTCGGAAACTATAAAGACAGAAAGTGACAAAAATCTGCTGAAATTCAGTTTCAATACATGTAAACGAAATAAAGCGCTAAAAGTCTCAGAAATTGAAAACAAACCCAGGAACCCAAATCCATTTGAAGTAATTATCTCAAGTGCACTGTTACCACAATAGACGTACCGCATTTTCCTCACTTGCTTTAAATTCTGCCAGCCGTTTCACATCGCTTCTTACTATTTTTAAGTGAAAACTACCCTAATTATCTGTAGAAATTTCCCAAAATGATTTTCGTGATTACAGTCGTCGTTTTCCCTCACCAATCAACTTCACTGACCTGGGGTTGACCTGACGTATAAAATTGTCATAACCATCACCCAATACTTTTGAGATAAAAAAAAATGTTTGAAAATGCTGCTTTTCAACAAAGGTACTTCAACTATATCGAATATATTAGTAAAACGTCTATTTATAGATTCAAGAGGTAGAGTAGCTCGGGAGTTAATTTGCAATGGCTATTTCACGTCATAAGGGAAGAAACGTTAAGCAACTCCGCGTGCGCCTCACTATCCTTTAGAAAAAGGAAAAATAGCTGACCAAAAGGCAATCAGGGGGGACCTCCATCTTCCATACAAACCCTTCGAGTCAACCCTTCCCCAGGACGACTTATAAACAGAACTTCGCTCGACCACACCATCACCCACCACCACCACCACCACCACCATCATCATTATCAACATCATCATCATCATTATTCCCATCATCATAATCATCCTCATCAGCGTCACCATCACCACCCTAATCATCATCGTCATCATCAGACTTATCATCATTATCATCATCATTCTTATCGTGATCCTCAGTACCGTCATTATCATGACTTCAACGTGTTCATCAGCATTACATAACCATTTCATCATCATCATCATTGTTATTACAACTGGGCCAAAGAAGTGGGAATTTGAACAGGCTTGTTTTAAAATGTTCAAATGCGCCGGGGTTGTATGTTGAAGTTTCGACTTGATCGGCGCGTTACCTCGACTCTAACAAATAGAAAGAGTGTATGTTATATTTAAGTTGTTATCAAACCGCCATCATCAATTTCTTGCACTCTGTGGAGATTGCAAGAAATTTTATATGGGGCCATATTACTGTGTTTTTAGAGTCTTGAAGTCGCGCTAACGTCCATGCCTGCGTGGACATATATTCGAAGATACTAAAAGAGACTTAAACAAGAACCCATAAAAGGGCTACATTGGTCTGCTGACTTGCGTGACAATTTGTCATGCTGCGTCAAAATTACATCCTAAGGCTTCGTCATGCATTCCTTTTCCACTGCGTTATAACGAGACAAAAGAACGTCCTTGTGGGACACTAAAATTTGTCCCCTGTTTTAAAAATTCTAGTTCTGTTTAAAGAAAGTTTGAGAGATTTGAAATGCTTTCACAGTCTGTTCGAATATTGCCGCCGCTACAGAATATTAGCAAGCGAAAACCTAACCACGGCCTCTGAAGATGTTAAGGAGGACATAGATGCACCTATTGTGACAAATTCCCCCAGGCATTCAGGGAACATCCCTCAGGCATTTGTCTCAACAGGTTCCTCTATGTTCTCCTTAATATCTTCTTCAGCGATCTTCAGAGGTCGTGGTTAGGCTTTCGCTGGCTAATATATTCTATTTTTCCTTGCATGCGACGATTGAGTAGAAGTGACAAATTGACTGAAACGGAAACCGCGCGTGAAAAGTCTCTGGCACTTAGGGTAGGGGGAAGGACAGGAATGCAGCAATAATCAAATGTTTAGAAAAATTGCACTTGAAGAGATTAAATTTACGTCAAATGTACGCATGTTCTTCCAAAATAGCATTTATTCATTTTAGGTTTGAGCTAGACATCCTCGCGCTTCCGTGCCGACATGACATTTATTTGTTATTTTACGGAAACGTTTGTTTGTAAAAACATGACAAAGGAAAGCAGAGCTATCGTCTGTCTGTCCAGTTTGAGACTTTTTGCTGATTACTTTTTCCGTCCGTCAACTTTTGTGTGTCAAAAATCTTAATCCTGTCCTTTCCCGTATTATCCAAATCTTCAAAAGTAAATATATAACGTTATTCAATTCACGACCGGGAGATAAAGCGAGTCCATAAATGTGAAATGACCCCAGAAATATTTGCATGAATGAATGCTTCACTCTTGATTTGCTTTCTGCTAAAACGTGAGCTCAATCACTTCAGAAGAGAAAAATGTAAAAAATAAATAAATAAATAAATAAAATAAAATAAAAACTCTATTTGCCCTTGAAACGTCTCTGTTTGTCCTCCTCCGAAGCCCTTGAAGGAAGAAATTCTTTGCTGAGACCCGAGAGCTGAAGCTGAAGTTTGTATTAGTGCTTGCATTGTAATCCGGGTTCTTTTACGGTAACGACAGAAAGCTTTCAGGGGACAGGCGACAAGGGGAACCTTTTCAGTAAGAGGAACTTTAGACAAGAGACTTAATTCTTTGATCAATTTTTCCTAACTTCACACAAGGATATTGTTTTTGTTCCACTACCATAATTGTTGTCTGAAAAGACCCACCCTGCCCCTCAAAAATCAGAAGATTAGCAACGACGTCGGGGAGGGTAACAGGCAACCAGATCCGTCCGCCATTTTGTCTTTTTCCTGCACAGACGAGGCGACCTCCAATTTTTTGACCGCGCTTTGCCCGAAGGGCAGCCCAATAATTATGCAATGGAGTGTGACTCACGCCATCGATTCGTTTGTTTCACAGTTATAGTCCGCAATGAAGACAGCATTTTGCAAAACACCCTATCATAGCTTACTTTTATCATTTAAGCAACACAATGACTACAAATGACTATAAATGAGCCAAAATTGCCATTTATCTATCGCGTGACACCTCGTTGTTTGTGACCTAAATTTTGGGCCAGATTTCGATTTTGTGGAAATTCAGTCGCCGCTCAGTCGAAAACGTTACAAGATCCCAGAGAAACAAAACAGTAACCTTTAAGACCTGCCTTTTAGGAATTTATGGTAGCAATATCAACGATTTTCAGGTGATACCACACGCCTTTCCATCGAGATGATTTAACCCTACTTTTGCAATTCCTTGTTACTCGCTTGAAAGGCTGCAAATGATTGTTCAAATTTCGAGTTTATTTCTTACAGGAATAACCTGAGACGAAAACTATCCATATGTTTTAATAAAACAAGGTCCCTATAGAATAGCTATAGCAAAGGAAGACCGGCTGCTGTACTTTAGGTCGAACACCATTATCTCGAATGTGGTGAAATTTTGTGCTGGCGCGCAGCCAAATACGGCAAAATTGATTTTAACGGTTTACTTTCGAAAGAAAAGCGTATTTCAAAAAAATCTTTCCATTTTACTGAAGGTAGTATCTTAGCCTTGCCCTAGACAAAAAATGAGCCGAGTCGTTTTTTTTTTACCGTGGCTACGAATTTGTGATTTTTTTATTTATTTTTACTGACATTCACTCTTGAGATCTCCAAGGCAGATTCTCTCGATAGTCGCGTTTGCATTTACCCTCCAAATACGTCATGTTTTAAACGTACCTTTCTCCGGATTTTTGGATTCAGACCACTTAATCACAAAAATAACTAGAGCAGTAACAGCAATCAGGAAAATTACGACCACGGCAGCAAACTTAAGGAGCTGATGTTGTCTGCCTCCCCGGAAATTTTCTCGTGCGCCATTCTCAGCTTTATGTGGCAACTGTCCTCTTAGGCTTCTATCTTGTTGAATGTTCTCTTGTCCAACTCTCTGTGCTCCTACAGTTTCAGTTGCTGCCTCCCATACGATGTCTTCTTGTTCAACGTCAATTCTTGTCGCAGGTTGCAACTCGAGGTATATCCTTTCTGGTACATTAGGTGTCATATACATCGCGGCGATATTAAAATGCGGTGCAATGATTGTAATATCGTACAGTGTGTATATGCCCTCAGTTGTTCAAATGTCTCGAACCATGATTAATGAGATCTAAATAGATCTATATACTTTTCTTTCGTAAAGCGCATTAACTCATTTTCTATAAATAACAAAAGTCAATGAAGCTTGAAAATCAAGCGTGGAAATCAATTCAACCCTGAGTGACTTCAAATTTCTCCTTGTAGTATCATGAATGTATTATAATGACGGGTCAAGATAGACTGTTCACAGTCCTCTATTTTTCCTTAAGATCGTCGAGGTTGAGCGCTTTATTGCGTTACGGGCTGCCATCTTGCGTGAGTGTCAAAACTACCTAGGGCGCGGGGCGGTTTGGGAGGAAGCGAGAAAAATAGAGGGACTGTAATAACATCACTGCAGCTCACGTCCAGGAGGCATGTTGCATGACAGGAATTTCACGCCTTTTACCATTCATTTATTAAGAAACTTCACTGGCAATGAAAAACATGCCCGACACATTTAGCATCTATTTCGCGTGTTTACAAATACGGTGAAACCTCTATTAAGCGGACCCCCAATTAAGCGGACACCCTCTATTAAGCGGACACTAAGTCGGGTTCCGAAATTAACGTCCTATATTTCCCTTTATAACGAACCCCTATTAAGCGGACACCCTCTATTTAGCGGAAGAAGACTTATAAAATAAATCGTATTTAGCTATAATTTCTATCGTTAAAAACCTCTATAGGACTGAATTGACAATAGTAGTATTGGATCACTTCCTTGAAATACGTACTGTAGTCGATTAATAAAGATAAAACAATACATTTAGCTGTCAATAAATGAGATTTATTTAGAAATAAATGGTTTTATGCTGAATGTGACTGATCAATATTGTATTTCTCCAGCTACCAGCAAAGGAGGGTTTTCCCGTCATCCGGTTGATTTGTCACGAAAGTTTCCGGTCACGAGTCATGTAAGTCAAGCAAGCGAGGCACAAACAGAGCTCACCCAAAGCGAGACTCCGCCAACATCAATAACCGACTTATATAGTGTAAAGGAACGTTAAGCATAAACTGTAGATTAGATCGATATCTGGCAGTGTAATTGTTATCCGCGATCAAAGTTTACCTAAAAGTCTTGCTCAAAATACAGCACAGCTTCCTTAGCTTCCTTAGTTTTCTCAACAACATGGAGCTTAATCGCAGTACAGAGTAACCTTGAATGCTAATCCTTAACAAACATTGCGCAATTTTTACAAACCTCTATTAAGCGGACACTTGGGAAGGTCCCGAAGGTGTCCGCTTAATAGAAGTTTCACTGTATCTCCTTTCGAAACAGTGATTTTATACAGTTTCTGGGCCATTCCTCCAAATAAAATCGGCAAACATGCACAGGTGAAACATTTTCCTAGTCAAAGCGCTTAGTATGCTCGCTTCACCACAGATTAAAACGGTTAAACTCCCGATAAAAAGCCAGGCATTTCTGACAGGTTGTCTTTTTTGCGTCGGCGTAGCGTGAAATTTCAGCTCGTTTTGGCAGAAACTGTGTTAAAACATCCCCCTGGCAGGGCTGCTTCAAAAGCACGTCGCGTGATTCATCCTCAGAATACCAAAAATCCTTCGTGTGTTGGCCCAAGATGTGCCTTATGCCCAGACTTATGGTAGTATTATGACAGCGTACGTTTTATAGAAACGACGACTTGTCAACGACTTGTCAGTGTCGGCAACTTAAACTAAACCCGTTGTCAACGCATGCAAATTAACATCTATCGTCAATTGACCAATCGAACGTCTGCGTTGCTGGTACAACGCGCTCAGTGAAGGCGAACTGCAGTGACTTTATCACAGTCCCTCTATTTTTCTCTCCCCCCTCCCCCTACAGCTATAATCCCCGTCTCCCGCCCCCTCGGTACATTTGAAAATCAAGATGGCCACAGTTACCGGTAAGACGGGCAAAAATCTCGACGATCTCACGAAAAAATAGGTGACTGTGATCAGTGTAGGGTCATGATAAATTATTTAAGTCTTCATGGTTCAGGGTGTTAATTTATTACTAAAATAACGTATCCACGCAATAAAATATAAATCTATAAAACAATTTACAAAAAAATATGATTTAAATTCTCATAAGGGTTAAAAGGGTTGATTTTCAGAAGTTTAATTTTAACATTTCACTTCCCAAGTTAGGCCATTTTTCGTAGAAAAAAGGAAACCTAAAATTTGCGGATTCAACAATGTGATGGAGAGAAGAACCACAATTGTCTCACTTTCGTAATACATCCAATTGCATCTTAAATTTTCGGGAAAATAATACTGAAGCCCTCACAATTTCAGAAAGACTAAAGTTCCCCTAGGATGACCGAAGAGATGCAAATTTACAGCGCCACTTGGAATGTATTTCTACATAATTATCTCGACTACTCTGAATAGCCTAAAAAGTGTTTTCAATGTGTTTAGGAGGAAGCTGTCGTTGGGTGCCCCTGGATTATGGCATAGTTTTAACAAATTCTAAGAAAGCGTTTGGGAATTATAATTATGAAACGAAGTTTTAAGGGTCATAAAATAGTGAACATCCTATCGACATAAAACGCTAATATGTAAAGAAAATGAAGCGGTCTGGACATGCAGTTTCATCTCATAGAGGTTTCATTCTCAGAGGCGGATCCTGGAGAGGTGGCGCCGAAGGGAGACTGGGCCTCCCTCTTATCTCAGGGTCTGGATGAACGCTCCGCAACAGATTCTTCTATCCGTGAAACTGTGGTACGAAATCCAATCGATCTGCCTAGAGGAAGTCCGCGGGTCATTCAAATCCCTTCCGGACTACCACTTCCGGAAGTAAAAATAACAGAGGAGAAATGTGCTGCCTTTGTAATACCGTATCATCTGCAAACGGTTAGACTTTCTAATCTCCTCAGAGTATTCTCGTATAAGGACGAAAAACCGTAATCTCTCTCACACAACAACTTGTTCATACAAAATTCTTTGAGACGTTTAAGGACTCACACACTGTTCGTAAAGAGTGTAGTAGCCTGTTCACAGACCCTCTTGTTTTCCTTTTAAAGTCTGTCGAGCGCGGGTGATAAAAAATAAAAACCGCGAGGGATTTGTTGACCGCCAGCCCAAGGGGGTAGAGGTGGGGAAGTTTGAAAAGAACAAAAAGTAAAATAAACAACGGCTGTGTACAGGCTAAAAGAGTAGGGGACGTAGTCCCCGGAGTAATGGTCTCTCTCAAATTCACTGTCATATCAGGGGGTATTCATGGATCATTAGTTGCACAACTGCACCAGAAGCAGTTTGGCTAAAGTTGGTGAGTCAGTGTTGTAAATTATCATGAAAAGCCCTGAGGTATGATATTACTTACAACTTACCACTTACGTACGGGCTTTTCTAGCTTAAGGCCGAGTATCAGACAAAGGTTTCCGTTATTTCCTCGTAGGGAATAAATTAGATAAGCTTCGAAAATTGTCAAGAATGGAAAGGTTATTTAGAAATTTTTAGCCGCCCTCAAGGGATAGAAAATTCTAGGCGCTAATGGCTTCTCCGAACAAATATTTTACAGAAAACAGTCGTTGGGTGCCCCTGATAATCGAGGCAACTAAGGAAGATACAAACTTTTTAATTTCTGAAAGTAACAAAAGGTCCTGGTTCGGAGAAATATAAAGGCAGGTACAAAACGTTATGCCGTCATGACGGTTGCCAGGACAACTTTTATGTCAATAAAACCGTGATGGATCATAACAAATTTTCATCTTTGTATAGTGCAGCTGGGATTGCTCTTTTCCGATATTTATGGTAATGCCGACGTACCAAGCGCTTAAAGTGGGGAAGTATACTCTCTAAAAAATCCAGTCAAGCCACCTTAAGGTTTTTTTTTCGCTAGTTAACAATATAACATGGTACTGACGTCAGATTACGTCATTCTGGAAATAAAATAAATATCAAACCTGTTACTACTACTACTACTACTACTACTACTACTACTACCACTACCACTACCACTACCACTACCACTACCACTACCACTACCACTACCACTACCACTACCACTACCACTACCACTACCACTACCACTACCACTACCACTACCACTACCACTACCACTGCCACTGCCACTACCACTACACCGGTAGTATTGAATAATTGTGTGCGTGGCCTTAGTATTCTTTATGTTTAAGTATTCATCCTAATCACCATTCCTCTGTTTTACTTCGTTAAACAACGGTATCCTTCTGTCAATCTGAATCAGTACCCCGCGATACAATTTCAAGCTTTCGTTAAGCAAACTCGACCAGTAACAGTGCTAATGGGTATGCGCGATGATTTGTTGAGAGCGATAAAAAAAGGCGAGGTTACTATCATGTTGCTAGCCGAATTCGCTAAAGCCCTTGCACTGTTAGAACCAGATTCTTATAACCAAGTCATATCAACGCTTCGTTTCTCGAAGTCGTTTCTGCGCTGGTTAAATAGGTACTTCAGTGACCGATCACGTTTGATACAGATCGATGTTCGTACATCTGAATAAGTGAACTTACGGTTTGGTGTGCCACAAGGAGATCCTTGGCCCGATGTTACGTTTGTTATCTGCATCATCATCACCCTTCCTCGATTGGTTTATTTCAATACGCTGACGATACTACAATCTACACCAGCTACAAAGATGTGCGCAAGAACTAAACTGCACCCTAAACACTGTGAGCTCCTGGTCTAATGACTCCCGTCTAGAACTCAACCCGCAGAAGACAAGGACGATGCTGCTGTCAACAAGCCAAATGTCTCATGTCCGTAGTTTATATAAGAATCGACCAGAAATTACAATCTCAGATAATACATTAGAATATGTAAATGTTAGTCAGAGCTTCTTGGTGCCATTTTCTCCAGCATCTTAATTAGGATTAGCTCGTGTGAGCAACGTACAAGAGCTGTTAAGGAACAATACAAATAACAATAAATCTTTTAGACTCAGAAAGCACTTAGTGAAGTCAGTGGTTCTGTCCA